CGCTAGTCTTTCGTTCCATTATCGGGATATCGGGGCCGACGGCACTGCGTTTAATTCTTTCCCTGATTCTCTTGTTCTGGCACTTGAAACGCAACAATCCTTGTCCTCTTTCACCCGTGCTGAAATATTAAGATCAAAAAATTGCTGTTACGCTGCCATTTCGGCTTTGGGGCAGAGCTGAGCTGCATTCGTCAACGGTTTCTCCATCACTTCATTGGTGATCTTTACCTTGGTATGACTCGTGAGAACGACCTAGTGGTGAGGATTTGTTGCCAGTGCTTTAGAGCAGCGTTTGAATAACTAAGGTCCCTAGTTCTTTTACCAATTGTTATCTGCTACAAAACTTCATCCTATTTACTTTTCCTTACTAGTCTTATTCTACTTTTCTGATTAATTGTCAGCAGCAAAGCGCTTTTTTCATCCACAAGTGTACTACAGTGGTACACCAAGCAGGTAAGTATATAGGTACGCTACGAGCATACAGCAGGCTGTGTTTTAAATTCCATTTTCTCAGCTCAAAATACGGTGCATTTCATAATTATACAACATCCCTTTTGTAAGTGAGGCATTTTCATGGTACTGTAGTCGTTCGCCGACAGTTTTTCCTTAATCAGTGGATGAAAAAACTGCCCATAATGCATGTTTGCCTCCGAACGCTTATTCCCGACGGTATCTTTTTAATCAGCTTTAGCTGCTTTTTAAAAAATTGGTATTTTTTTTAAAACAAGCTAAAGGTGACGGATGCTTATACACCCGTCACCTTGTTTATGTGGGGTTTTCGACTTTTATAAACTCATAACTCCAGATAAACTAGTGCTTTTTAAAGGCATATCAAACAGTCTTTTGCATAACACTAACCTATTTTTTGTTCCCTCCATGTAAACGCTACTGCTCTGTCCCATCTGAAGATCTGATAAGCACTCCAAAGCTTACTGTTTGGGAATAAATATAACCTCCAGTAAGTGGCAGGCACAGCCATGACTCCATTTAGGTACGGCTTCATGTACCATAGTGAACAATACAAACAACAATACAACAATACCAACAACAATAACTTCCAGACAGATCTCATGGCTGAAATTATCGTTTATATCGCTCAAACTCTGACAAACGAAACAGCTTTTGTTCGGTTCACGCCTATAGTCGTACCAACGATGAGGAGGCTGAATTTTCCTCCGCCTAATTTAGGCAGAAAACACAAGTTTTCGAGCTTCCGCTTTCTGTCTGTCTCAAAGCTGTCTTGCGTCGCGCATCATCTACAGCCTTAAGATTTCCGCTAAAATTTAGATTAAACGTTAGAGTTTAAAGATTTCGCATTCGTTGAGAGATAGGCAAAAACTTCGAAAACTCTTTAAAAAAGATATTACTGGGATTTTCTTTTCCCTGACGTTTCGACCGTTCATCATTTTCAGAGGTTTAATGTGGTAGATTAAATCCAAATCGTTTTTAGCCAGTTGTCGATCTCTTTCAGGTTTCGTACTATTGAGTAGAACAGCAAAAGTCCAACATATCTTTGACATTAGGCCGTAAATAGTGCATATATGCATGGACAGTGCATCTTTTCCGGTATTCAGATAGGTACAGCACCGACGATGCCGCCTTTAAAAAGTGCGAAAATGCCACTTAGTCATAACTCAGCTCGTATCCAAAAAATAGAAAAAACGTGACACAGATGAGCGTATTTTGCACCACATTATGGGTACTTAAAATCTGCCAGTATTTTGAGAACAATCGGTATTTTCTCGATATTAGAACCAATTAAGGTGCTGTCGGAGGCGACAACTCAAGTTTAACGCTGATTCTATGTCGACATAAACCACTTCGTAGTTGTCTGGTATTTTTCGGAATACCGAAACATATTTGGATAGATCGAAACATGCTGATTTTAAACTATACGGAATTCTGATGGTAATCAATTATAAACTGAATTATGGCGATGCTGCACTTTTGACGCGAGATTATATTTATTTCGGTTTATTTCGCAGATTTTAAAAAGGACAC